GCCTGTGCAGGGCTTTGGCCGGTGGGTAGCCTGGGCCCTGGGTGGCCGGGGAGGTCCGTGCCCGCTGTCCCGGGCTGTCATCACCCTGAGAGGCTGTGATGGGGAGCAGTCCCATGCTCCCCTCCAAGCCTGGGTGGTCACCACCTTGGGGTCCTGGCAGACTTCCTGGGGGGGCTCCTCAGGTGGGCCGAAGGATTGGTATTAAGAGAGGGGTTGGCCTCGATGAACCCCGAGCCGGGGACGGGGTGGGCAGAAACGCAGCTAAACTGGAGGGCCTGACTTCTGCGGGTCTAGGGGAGGGCGGGGGCCCTGCTCAAAGCCCAACCGCGAGTGGATGGCCTGGTTGGCACGGAGCGGTGTCCTAACAAAGAGGCGCTTTGTGGGCTGCTGGCGTGCGGCCGCTCATGGGGTGGCCAGGGCCCCTCTCGGAGCCGGAAAGGGAGCCTCACCCCTTTCCTGACAGTCGCCTGGTGTGGGGTGGGGGTCTTCGCTGACTGTACCCCTGCTGGGAACACAGATGCTCCGATGCTTGCAGGAAAACCCCCCACGAGCCCCTCCCGATGAAGGCCCGGGAAGCCCCCACCTGGGGGCAGCTTCCGAGGAGGGACTGGACCTGGAGTCAGGTATCCCCTCTGCCCCAGACCTAGAGGCTTCCCCTGAGGACGTAAACGCTGGCCATGCCACCCCAGGCTTTTCCGTGTCCCACTGGCAAAGGTCAAGCCAGGAGGCAGACAAGCCTCCCTTTGCTCGCTGGGCCGCCTGGGCCAAGGCGCTGTCTCCGCTGGGCTGCTGGCTCTCACGCAGGGCAGCCGACAGGACCCTCGTGGGGAAGCACTGCTTTCTCGCTCTGCCGGTTTTGACGCTGGGGTCTGTTCTCAGCCCCGCAGTCCTGGCCGAGGGTCTGACCCCGGGGTTCCCCGCTTGCTCCTTCCCTTCCTGCCGACCAGGCACCGTGGACACTCTGAGGATGGGAAAGTGGCACCGAGAACTCAGGCAGGTGGGTGGGAGGTCCCGGCCCCTCGTCAGTGAGCACACAGCACCCCTCAGGCACTCACACTCTGCAGACGTCCGTGGGCCTCTTGTCTGTGTGTGGTACCCCCCAGGGCCGGGGTAGTGGACGAGACGGGGAGCCTGTGCCCGAGGGGGAGACGGGGGCTGTGAACGTCAGAGTGGATTAGTATCAGGGTTGGGTCAGGGAGAGCCGACTGGCGATGGCCCAACTGGCTCTTTCATATGGGAGGGTCAGGAAGGCCCACGGTCCAGGGACATCTGGGCAGAGACCCAGAAGAAGTGATAGGGTAAGCCTCAAAGACACTGGGGGAAGAAGGTATAGGCAGTGGGAACAGCAGGTGCAAAGGCCCTGGGGCAGAAGGATGCCAGCATGTGGAGGACCCATGCAGAAACCAGTGGGGCTAGAGCTGGAGAGCGACCAAGCGGGGGTGAGTGTAGCATGTGGAGCCAGGTCCCGGCCACTGTAAGGACTTGCGTTCTGAGTGAGAAGTGAGATGGGGGCCGCCGAGGGACCTGAGCAGGGGAAGGTCATGATCTGACATGTTTAGAAGCATCTCTGTGCTGCCATGTGGTGACAGACACAGGCAGGGGCAAGAGAGGGCAGACGGGGAGGCCAGTTATGGGGCTGTTGCAGTGACATGAGAACGGGGGGGGCCAGAGCAGGAAGGTAGCAGCGGGGGGCAGTAAGAAGTGGTAGGATTCCTGACACAGCCTTGAGGCAGAGCTGTCAGGACTGGGGTGTGAGAAAAGTGAGGAGAACCCAAGGTTGGCCTGAGCCGCTGAAGGATGGCGCTCCCAGAAGGAAGAGCTGTCATTTGCTGAGGCAAAGGGCGTGTCGGGGGGCAGTTTTGGGGCACAGTCAGGGTCTGTTCAGCCGTGTCACACTGAGACATCTATCAGCCACCCAAGTGGACAGCGGGGAAGCGCCTGGCTAAGTGAGACTTGGGCTGGGTGTGTTTCATGGGTCTTAATGCGTCTTCGAGATGAGCCTTGGGTGGAGGAAGCAGCCTCTTCCCAGAACTGGTGAGGCCAACTGGGGCAGACCCGCCCGTCTGCATTCGATTTCAGGGATCCCTGCATGACCACAGCCCCCAGGGTGGGCGCCCCGTGCGACACGGAGCCCAGGACAAGAGCAGAGTGAGCGGAGCCTGGGTGCATGGCGCAGCGGTCTCAGCTGACTGGTGTGGACACGGGGAGCCCGGAGGAGGAAGGCGTCCCTTCAGGTCCCTCCTCCCCAGGAGCCCGGCTCCATCCGGCCGCTGCTCCAACAGGCCTCCGCTGAGCACTCGGCCACCTGCAGGACTGCCGAAGCAGCACCTGGCCGGCTACCAAACGCTTCCACCGTCCAGGGAAGGACAGACAGGTGACCAGCCCTTGCTCCCAAGTGCACCCCCAGCCCCCGCCCCTGACACCCTGCTCAGCAGTTTGTTTGCAGATTTCCCTCTTGTGCCTACCCTCTTTCCCCAGCCTGACGCTCTCTGGATAAAAGGAGGAAACTCAAGCTGCAGGCCACGAAAGCTCAGGACCAGAGGCCAGGCCAGGCCTCCCCGAGCTGAGAAAACCCTCGCTGGCATCTCGGGGGGGTTGCAGTGCTAATCAGATCCCGCAAGAGGGGGCTGGGGCCGCTGCCAGGCCCGTACACCAGCCGCCCCAGGCGAATCGTCTGTACCGTCTAAGAGTCCTGAGGGTCAACAGGCGGAGGCAGGGGGCTTTGCAGGACCGCGCCCCACCCTGCCTGCTGGGGGGCCCGGCGTGAGGGACCCCCAGCCCAGCTGCATTTTCTTCCTAAGCTGCATTCTTCTCGTAAGTAAAACAGGAATAGAGAACCAGCTTTATAGAACTGTTGTGAAAATTAAGTGAGATAACACGCAGAACGTGTAGCACAGGCCTGGATTTTAGTAGGTATTCAGCGGTAGCGTTGAAAGTGTGCAAGTGTGGTTTACATGCGCACACATGCACAGGGAAACTGCACCGAAGCCCCTTATCCTTGGGACGGGTTTCTGGTTATCTGTTGTCTTCTAAAAACTTATCAACACTTTCCAAACGTCCCTCATCAAAGAAGAAAGAATCTCTTTAATAAGAAAATACAAGAGAGGAAAACAACTGGAACGTGCAGATTTGCGACCAGCCCCCCGGGCGAGTGTGTTCCCTCCGGGAGTGTGTACAACAGTCAGCACCCCCGCCCAGCTTCACCTCTAGACCCCATCCACACGGTGACCCCAGCCCTGGGCAGGGGAGGACCTTGGTGCCTCGTGGAGGGCTTCTCGAGTCCTGACCCCTTGCCTGGAAGCAGCTAGATGTTCTGCTCACAGGTGGTGTTGGCAGAAGCCCCGGTTTCCCAGGGCCCCGAGATCCTAAATAACACTTAGTAGCTAGCTGCAACCTTGGGGCTGCTGAGCTGCCCTAGGCCAACGCATGGCCTCCCTCCCGGCCCAGGGCCTCAGCTGGTCCCCAAGCTGAGCAGGTGGCGTTACCTGTCACTCTCTCCGTGCACCTCTTGGGCTGGGACCACACGCCAATCCACGGGACTGTGCCGGCAACCGGTAGAGGTCCCTCAGGACAGTCAGACTGCCCTGCAGGCTGGGGCATGGGCTGAGCTGGGGGGGTGGGACCTGGGACAAGCTTAGATCTAAGTGGGGTTCTGGGGGTGTGCCCAGGGAGTCTTTGAGAGTTCATACCCATCGCCCAGAGGGCAAGGCAGGAATGAGCTGGTGGGGGGAAGCTTTCTGTGCAGACCCTCACGTTGTGGGTCAGGGGTCAGTCCACGACCAAGGTCAAGGACCTACCATGAGACTGGGGACAGAAGTACTTAGACCAGGCTTCTGAGCACTGTAGGAGTGACCTTGGTCAACTGTCCTGCAGGGCTTTAGCCCCAGCCCCTGACCCCCAAGGGGCCCAGAATGTGCTCAGCGGGGGGGGGGGGGGAGTGGGGGGGCATCTTGCTCTTCACATCAACCCCGTCCTCCTGGTGACGTTATGCTCAGGACCACTGTCCTGGTGCCACCCCCATTTTCCTGCCAGGACCCTGTAGGGGTGAGGGAGCCAGGAGGTCTCTAGTCTTGGAGGACCACTGCAGCCTGTCCTGACCCCAGGCCTCAGGTTAGGGTGGGGCGACTGAGGGGCCTTCTGTGGGTCCTTTCCGGGTTTGTGGCTGATTCTATCTCTGCGCACTTGTTTTAAAACCTCACCTCTGTCCACAGGAGGGTGACCTCGAGCAAACCGGGAGCCACGGGGGGCGGGGGGCTGGGGGGGGTGGCGGCAGTCACTAGCGGCCAGCGCGGCCGGATCACGCCGGGCCTGAAAGCAGACCCCGCCGCGTCTACGCAGCTCGCAGTTACCGGGATCCGCGCAGGAGGCGCCGGCGACGCGCGCTTCGCCCAAGGGCGCTCCCACGTCCCCGCTTTCCGGCCTCCGGGGCGTCGGTGCAGCCGAGGCCGCGTACCCGCTCCAGCCGGCGGCGCCACTTGGCCCAGCATCCCGGAGCCTGCCCCGTGCAAGCGCGGCCGCCGCGGGGAGGAGGCGCCCCAGGACCGGGGGCTCCACACCTCGAGAGGGTGTGGGTCGGCGCCCCTGCCCTTCCCGCGTCCGGCCCCGGCTCAGTGCCCGGCGCAGAGTCGCACGCCAGGAGTTTGCGGAGGGGGCGCACGGAGGGGGCGCGGAACGGCCGCCCCCCCACCCCCACCAACCCCGGACCTCAGGGCCGGGGATCCCCCCGCCCCTGCCCCTCCCAGGGCGCCCACCTGGCGGCGGGGCGGCGCGCCCCAGGGCGGCGAGTGCGCGCGCGCGGCCGGCGCGCTGTCCCTTTAAACGGCCCGCGGCGCCTCCCCCGCGCGCCCCGCCCGCCGCGGTGCGGCCCGGTGCTGGGCGCGGCCGGAGAAAGTCCATGTGAGCCGGAGCGCCGGACCGCCGGAGCACTTCCTACTGCAGGCCGGACCGGGCCGGCGCCCGCAGGTACCCCAACTTCGCGCCGCCCGCGGGTCCCACCGCCGCACTTCCCGCGAACTCCGCGGCGCGCCCGCCCTCGCCTGCCGCAGTGCCCAAGTTCGCGCCGCGCGCCGCCCGCGGAGCTGGCCGGCGGCGTCCGGGCCTGGGGAGGCGCTCGCCCGGGCCGGGCCGCGCCCCGCCCCGCCGAGCGGGGACCCGGGCTCCGAGCGTCTCCTCTCCTGCCGGGTTTCTCGGGGCGCTCGGGACACTAGGTCTCCCCCGACCGGACGGACGGAGCCCAGTCCTCTGGGGTGGGCAACCCGCGCGGGCTCGGCCTGGGGACACGGCCCCGGGGACACGCCCCTCCCTCCTGGGCCGTCCGAGGGAGGGACCTGTTGGGCACCTAGCCATGTGTCCCCTGGCTGTCTGTTCTAGCTGAGCCTGTCCTGTGTAGTGGGGGGCTGGGCGGGGGGAGAGCACCCTCCGTGGGCTGGCCATCTGGTAGAGCTGGTCTTCTGAGCACCCTGCACGCACACCCCTGTACCCGTCTGGTCTGGTCCGGGTCTCTCTCCAGGTCTCCCCTTCCCCTCCCCCCACCTTCCCCTCCGCTTCCCTCTTGAGCTACAGACCCCTCTCCCCTCGCCCCCCGCAGTTTGCCCTGATGACAAAGGACGCGGTTCTCCTGGTCTCGGCGCAGGTGCTTCTCAGCACTCCGTGCGCGGTGTCGTCTAAGCCCCGCACAGAGCCCAGGAGAGGTATCTTCAAGTGTTGGCTCCATTTTAGAGATGAGGAAACAAGGAGTTAGGTGAAGGGTCAAGCAGCGGGCACTGCCCTCCACCTTCCAACAATCCCCCTCCCCCTCTCCCCGTGGCCCTCTGTGGTGTCCATCCCTCCTAGGAGGCCGCTGGCATTCTCCCGTGGGACAAGCCACCGTTTGTTGGTACCTTGGCTGGAGCCTGAGTGAAGGAGATGGGAGGGGGAGACCCAGGGTGGTTGGCCCCCTGCTGTTTCGGTGAGCTGGCTGGAAGGGGCACAGCAGTAGAACAGGATATCCCTCGTCCCCTCTCAGTGGCAGAGATCGGTTCTCGGTGGTCACACCCAGGCGGGGTGGGCGCCGGACATGGTGTCTGAAACCGCGCTGAGTCGGAGCCGGCTTCGGCCGGCCTCTGCTCTGCAGCCGTTCCGAGCCTCCTGCAGAATCTTGGACCAGGAGAAAAAGCTTGTGCATTTTCTGACACGGGGACACCAGGCCACCCTGGCTGCCCGGAGTGCGTCTGGGTTCTTTGTCCTGGATGTGCTGGGACACTCGAGAGCCTGTCTTTGGGAGGTGGGCTCGTGGGTGACTTTTAACAGAACCCTTAAAGCCTCTCTCTGTTTTCCAACGAAAACGTGAGATGCATTATTCATACAAGAGAGACGGTGCTGATGGTAAGTGCTGAGCTGACATTCACAGCCTACGTTCCTCGGGCACCTCTGCCTCTAGGGCTCAGCGTGCTTGACTTGCAGCCTGGGCTGGGGTGGGCCTGGGACCCCTCCTGGGACAGAAAGTAAGAAATGTGGCTTTGACCCTTTCAAGGATGTTCCCAGGGCTCCACCCCCCGCCTCTTCCTCTGAGGTCTGTGCTCCCAGGAATGCAGAGGCAGGTATGGGCTGCACCGGACACGGACTCCCTCCAGGCCCTGGGCCTTCCGGTACCATCCACTGCACTCACCATCTGTAGGGTTGGGAGTCTCAGGCAGCTGAGGCCTCATTCCCTCCACCCCGGGGAAGCAAGTCTTGTCCCTGCGGCCCATGGCCAATCTGCCCCCTTCCGGGTGACCCTGTCCCGTCTCGCCCGGCTCTTCTCCGACCTGGTCCCTCCCTGGGTTCTGTTGTCCTGCTGGGGTGTGGGGGGTGAGATGAGCTGCCCTGGCTGGGGGCAGGGTGGGGAACGTCTGCTGAGCCGTTTGAGCGGGAACTGCGGCCCAGATCACGGCCCTTCGCTCCTGATTCTCCAGCGTGTTTCTCCCAAGAGCCTGCAGACCCCCGTGTAACAGGCGCACTTGGGGAACTTGACCCGGGCTGCGTTCTTGGGACAAGACAAGCTGCCTTCCAGCTGAGGATCTATCGTGTTAGCTGGCCTGGGCCTGGCTCCTTCCCGTGGCCGGTGTCCCCGAGGGGTGTCCCGGCCCAAGGAACCTGGCCTTCAGGCCTGGTCTTTTGAAGGGGAGCAATGTCTTCGGTACAGTTGGAGGGGTGTCTCCCTCCACAGGGACAGGGGCCGCCGGTCCCTGGCTGGACCCAGAGCTGTTGCTGGCTGTGGGCAGCCCCACTTCAGGAGCTTGTAAAGTCTGGTTGGGGCTGGGGTCCGACTGGGGGCTGGTGAGGGGCTTCAGGGCCTCTCACTGCCTGCCTGCCCGCCTGCCGGGTCTGCAGAGAGCGCTGCCCGGCCCGTCCGCGTTCTAGACCCTGCCCAGGCCTCTCCGAACGCCTCATTTGCGTTCAGCACGCTTTCCCGGGCATCCCCTTGGTCCTCCCCGAGGTGAGCCGTCTGGCCCTCGGGTACTTCCAGGTGGGGCCGGAATTTAGGACCAGAGCCAGCATCTTCATTGGTGTCCTCGCCCCAGTTCAGAGATGAGAGCGACCCCCTCACGCCGTGGCCCTGGGTGAAGCCTGTGTGTCCTCCCCTGCCCGCCGCAGCCTCGTTCCCTCTTTCCTTGTGTCCTGAGCCACCGAGGTTGTGCCTGGGAGGCTACATCCCCCCCCGCCCCCCCGAGCCCCCCCCACCAGCCATCCTGGGCTCCAGGGACCTAGCCCGCTGGCCGGGGGAAGCAGTCCCCTTAGCGAGGCCGAGGCCCGAGGCGCCACTGCCACCCACCCTGCCTCTGAGCAGCCAGGGATCCTGGCGACCTCTGTTTCTCTTTTAGCAAATCCTTGCTCTCACCAGTCCTGGCTCTCGATGAGATCATTTGCAAAGTATGCTTCCCGGCTGGCCCCGGCTCCCTCATTGTGTCTGTCACCTGCAGCTGCCTGCTCGCTGGGAGCTGGCCTTGCTCTGCCCTGGCCTCTGGCCTTTGTCATTTAAAGTTCAGGTTTTGGAAGAAGGCGCCCTGTGGGGGAGGGTCTCAGCAGGTGGGGCAGGCACAGAGGTGTTTGGGACGTGAACTTGGGAGCCGAGCTCCCTGGTGGCTGCCTTTGTGGTTGGCATCCTCAGAGTGGCGCAGCCCCCATGAGGACATGGACAGTGGGGGCCGCTCACCCCTGCCCGGGCCTGGGAGCCGGTCTGAGCAGGAGAAACGGAGCTGGAATCCGATGCGGCGCCGGCTCTCTGGGGCCTGCCCCGCCCCCAGCTTCCGCTGGCTGGACCTGGGTCCGGGCAAGGAGGCTCTTGGGAGCAGGACCTCGGAGGTCTCTCTCAGGTCACATCCAGCTCAAGGCTTTGTGACCTTGGGTGGGTAACGTACCCCCTCTGAGCCCCACCCTGGCCTGTGTGTCGTGATGCTACTGCTGCGAGGCCCAAGGTGAGCAGGCCCCGCCTGGGGGCCCTGTGGAGGTGCCCCCTCCCTGGAGGTGGACCAGAGCCAGTGAGGGGTTCATGCCCCTTTAAGGGGAGGCTGCTTCTCGGTCTCCAGGGCGGATGGAGGCATACTTTTCTCTGAGGTGTTGGTCTCTGGTCCCACGGAAAGGAGAGGCTGGCTCTGGGTCTCTCTGAAGGAATCTTCCCCCTCCCTCTTGGCCCTGGGCCCTGGCATCCAGGAGGGCACATGGCCATGGATGGGCCGGGAGCTCCTGAGCCCCGCCCCGTGTCTGCCTGTGTGCCTGGGAAGCAGCAGGGCCGGGGGCGGGGACCGCAGGGGCCTGAAAGTGCCCATATATAGTCACTGGGGTGAGCAGTGAGCCCGGCCGCCGGCTGTGGGGCTGTGTCCCAGGCCCAGGGCTGGCTGGCCCCCAGGCCCAGCATCAGGCCCAGCCCCCAGGTCCTCGATTTGGGGCGAAGCATCAGATATAGCAGCAGGCACAGGTTTGGTGCTCCAGGAGTGTTTGTTGATTGAAAATAAAAATCTCCTGGATACTTGGTAGTCTGGGCCAAGTGTATGTCTTGAGACGCCATTTTTGAAAGTTGGAGGCCGTAGCCACCGAGGGCCCCTCACTGTGGGCTGGGGGCGGGGTGCCAGCTCGTCTGCACCCACAACCTTTGCCCCACAAAATGCCCCCTTCATTATGGTGACACCCGTAGATGTTCCCTCCCCATCCCCAGAGATGGGCGGCATTTTCTGGAAGAGGGCCTCCCTCCCTCTGCCTCCTGGACACTGCCTGGAGTCCAGCTAGTGGGGAAGGGGCCGGGCGTTCCCGCGCTGCCGGTGGTCTTTGCAGGAAGTCTGCTCCCTGTGCCCCCGGGTTGTCCTGGGTCCCCACCCTAGCCCTGGGCACCTGCGTGTCTTCCTAACTCGCCCATCCCAGTCTCTGCACCAAGAAAGGAGAAGCAGCCGCCTCTGCTCCGTTCCGACTTTTGTGCTGTTAAAAATCACAGTGTTAACATAGTTTTGCTCCTTTAATTTAGTTTCCATTGCACTGCTAAGCGCCTTTGTGAAATTTTGTATATTGATACTTTTTGTTGTTGTCAGCAGTTTTTTTGGCCATGTAAAGCCATTAGGGTGAGAGAAGATTAAAAAGATACATTACAATTAAAATGTTAATGAAATCTGCATCATACAACTTTTGAAACCCTTTAGGCATTAATCTTGCCTGTGTCATGTCCATTAACTTTAGTTATTCCTATTCCACACTGACCCCTGCTGAGAGATTTGTGCTATAATTGGATTTTTTTTTTTAATAAAAAAAAGAAAGCTTTTAAGAAAATAGAGGTTGAGTGGTGGGCCCCGCTCCTGCATGAAGAGAAAAGGAGAGAAGGGGCTCCCCTTGGTGGCGGCCGTGGGCCCCCTGTCTCCTCCGGGTCCTGGCCTCGGTCCTCTCTGCATCCCTGTGGGTGACCGTCCACGCAAGCCCTGCTCCTGCGGCGCCCCCAGGGGGACCGAGTGTGGCCGTGTGCTCAGACCTGCGTCCATGCCAGGACCGGCTCACCCATGGCGGGAGGGTGTGCCGTGGCCGCAGTCGGGCTGTGGGTGTGCAGGGGTCAAGGATGAGCTCGCCTTCCGGGGCTGGGTCCCCGAGTCCAGCTGCTGGGTAAGGGGCTGCAACAGGGAAGTTCTGGAAGCGCCGATGGTTTTGAGTTTTCAGGATCCCGCGTCCGCCACACGACACGCGCCTGGAAGTCTGGTGGCGTGGGCACTGGAGTCTCCAGCCCGAGGCAGGGGCTGGGGGCTGTGGGGATGGGGAGCGCCCCCCTGACCTACCCCCAGGGGAGTTGGGACCCCCGATGAGAGCAAGCCCTAGGTGCTCCGTTAACTTCTCTGCACGGACTCACCCTTGACCGTGGCCGGAGCCCGTGGTGGTTCAGATCTGGGCGGTGCCCCTGCTGGGACGCACCCCTGGCCCGGGTGAGGCCCGGGCAGTGTGGGACGCGGGGCTGGCCCGGGCGGCCCGGGTCTCGCCAGCCCCCGTGCTGCAGTGACAGCCGTGGCGCTGGGAAGCTGGTCAGGTGGTTGGCAGGGGGCTGCAACAGATTTCATGTCTGTGTGTTTTTGCAACACCTTTCTATAAAGGGAAACATAATTTAAAATATGATTACTTAGTGTTGTAACAGCCGCCTCAGCGCTCCAGCTATGCCGAGATCATTATCAGAGGCTGATATTAACTTGCAAAGAATATTATGCAAATTGCCCGCTGGCTTCTCCGGGAAACCTTCTGCCGGGATGGGGATGTGCGTGGGGTGTGCGGCACGGGCGGGTCCCTCCGGGGCCACACCCCTGCGTGGCCGGCCCATCAGCCATCGTCGGTTCCTGGCCGTGTCTCAGGACACTGGGCCGAGTCTGTCCCCTTCCTCCACACCATCCCTCGCCCCTTGTCTGCGTTGGGAGGAGGTGGGGGGGGGACACGGGGAGCCTTGGGGCAGGATGGACCCAGTGGAGGCTTCCGGGCAGGGTAGGGGCTGGAGGCTCGCGTCCCCCAGGCTCGCCAGTGGTCCCTGTGCTACCTGTTGAGTGAGTGTTGCCGCGATGTCGGGCCCGGCAGACGCGTGGGAAAGCGGTGGTGGGATTGGCGTGGGGCCCTGACTGCCCGCTCACACCTGCCCCCTCCTCGAGTCTGAAGGTGGCTCCCTCCCTTACCAAGGGTGGTGCATCCCCCCTATTTTGTGAACACTGCTCTGGGGGTTCCCCGTGGGGTCCTTCAGCTCCAGGAGGGCAGCGATGTTTGTTTGCTGGTGGAGAGGACTGGCTGGAAGGGGCGTGAGCCTTGCAGTCGCCCTGGCATGTAACGGGGGCGGGGGTGAGATCAGTTTCCTGGGGTTGGGTAACAAATGACCATAAACCTGGGGGCTTAAAGCAACAGAAATTTACTCTCTCACAGTCTAGAGGCCAGAGGTCCAGAATCCACGTGTGGGCAGGGCTGGCTCCGTCTGGAGGCTGTAGGGGAGAATCCTGGCCTCTTCCAGCGTCTGGCGGTGCCGGCGATCCTTGACGTTCCTTGGCCTGTAGACACATCACTCCCATCTCAAGATCTTAACTAATTACGTCTGCAAAGACCCTGTTTGCAAATAAGGTCACATTCTGAGGTTCCAGATGGGCATGAATTCTGGGGGGACCCTAGTCAACCCGGTGTGGCCAGGTGGGCGCAGAAACCCTTTAGTGCCTGGAGGGGAGGGGCCGTCTCAGAAGTAGGGGCGGCCTTGCTGGCCGTCTGGCTCCACCCAGTGCTTGCCCAGGAGGGTGGACAGCCAGACGTATGGACAGTAGCCACTGCCCGACGAGCGCCTGGACCGCGGGCATAAAGGGCCAGCGCAGGCTGGGAGTTCTGGAAGGACCTTTGGCTCAGGAGCTAAGCCGGGGTCGAGGGCGGGAAATGGGGCCACCGACAGAGGAGGATTTTCCTGAGACAAGAGTGTCTGCGGTTACATAAGTTTGGGGACAGGAGGCAGAATTTGTGTTAATTGTCATAACCCAGTTTAGCGGCCCATCCTTGTCCCGGGAAGCAGCCTGGAAAGGAGAGGGAGGTGGGTCTCAGCGGAGTCCTTGGGGCTGGACCCCAAACTGCAGCGCAGACTGGGGCCACCGCGGCCCTCCAAGTCCTTCCTCCCCGTGTCTCTTCCGTCCCGCAGAAGAAAAATAAGGGCATGACGTGAGAAGAAATGGCCAAGAAATGGAGGCAAAGAGAAAGTAAGAGCGGAGATGCCTCGGGAGGAGGTGGGTGCCCAGGACGGGTCTGGAGGAGGCCACGGCGTCCAGGCGGTGAGGCAGGACACCCAGGCGTTGTGCCTCTAGACCTCGGGGGCCCTGCCATTCCCGGACCGAGACCTCAGGCAGCTGTGGCGGGGCTGAGAGGGGGCGCGTTGGCAGGGGGCTCATGGTATGGGCCTCAGGGTCTCTCCTGGAGGAGGAGCTGGGTCCTCGGGTGCCCCGCACTCCTCTTCCCGCGCGGCTCTGCCAGCCCAGCGGCCCCAGTGTGGCCCCAGTGCAGGTGACCGCCCGGCCGGGCGAGGGCCTGAGGGCCTGGGAGGCTGCCGTGCAGTTTTGCGCTGGGCCTTTCTTCACATTCTCGGTAACCCAGGGAAAGTGGGAAGTCCCCCCACCAGGCCTCCTTGGGAGTTGGCCCCCAGCTCTGCTTGGGGGGCTCCTCTGTCCCCCCCCCCGCTGCCTGGCATCATGGGGCTTCTCTCCTGGGAGGACAGGCGACGTGATTTGCTGCTCAGTGCTCAAGCTCAGAAGGGGGGTCCCCGCCACGTTCAGAGACTCGTTTCTGAGGGTTTTCAGGACGTCTGGCCAGGACTTGGGGTGGACCCCAGGGGGTGGGCGTTACCCAGGACTAGGCACCCCTTCTCCGGGGTGGGGGCACGGTGACGTGGCTTCCTCCAGCCTCCTGGCCCCGCTGTCACCGTCACAGGTCTTGAGTGTGGTGGAGGTGCCCCTACCCTCTGCCCAGTGCTGGCGGCTGGGGACGCTAGTTCTGATGCCTGAGGAAAGGGTTAAAAGATGCACAATTTTAAACTTACAGAGAAACTGCGCGTACCGAACACAGAACTTCTTCCAGACCGTTTGAGAGTAGCGGCCCCTTATTGCCGGGTGACCCACTGAAACGAGGGCTGCCCGCTGCCCGCCTCACCGCAGCTCCAGCGGTCACCGGACGGCCCCAGTGGCTCCCATGCCTGGGCCCTGTACAGCCAGAGGGTCACTGTGGAGTTCCTGTCCCAGGCACCTGTCAGGTCTGCTTTTAAAATTTTAATTAAAAAACATTCTAGTTACTTGCACGTAAAACCTACCATCTTAGCCACTTTCCAGCACACAGTTCAGGGGCATTGAGTCCATTCACATTGTTGTGCAACCGTCACCACATCCGTCTCCAGGACTCTTTCATCTTCCCAAACTGACACTCTGTCCCCATTAAACACTCGCTCCCCTCCCCCCCGCCAGCCCCAGGCCCCGCCGTCCACTGTGTGTCTCTGTGGGTTTGACTCCTCTAGGGCCGCACACGGGTGGCATCACACAGGATTTGTCCTCTGCGTCTGGCCTTTGGTCAGCATGATGTCTGTGAGGCTCGTCCCTGCTGTGGCCTGTGTCAGGATCTCCTTCCTTTTTAAGGCTGAGTTTAGTCCACCGCGTGGATGGACCCTGTTGGGTGTATCCTTCCTCTGTCCGAGGACACGTGGCTGTTTCCACGGTTGGCTGTTGTGAGTGGCGCTGTGTGAACACGGGTGTGCTCGTGTCTATCCAAGTCTCGTTGTGTCTCTTAGGCTTCTTCAGCCGCTGCAGGATCCGAGGTCTTTCCCTGGCTCTCGTGACCTTGCCCCCAGAGCCCGGGCCAGTTTTGCAGAAGGCCCCCGGTCTGGGCGCGTCTCGGACAGCGGCGCTGCGGCCGTGCCCCTGTCCTGCCGCTGGCGGTGGCCCGTGGGGGTTTTGTCCAGCCACTTGGGGGAATCTGTCTGGCGTGTGTGTCTATAAAGCAACCCCAGCGTGGGGGTCGCGGCCAGGGTCGTGTGTGGGGGCAGGGCAGGACACGGGGTGCGGGGCAGGGGTGAGCGGCGGGCTGCACAGGACCCTGTGGGGGGGGGAGTTGGGTGTTTGGCCCTGGAACGGGAGGCTCTTGAGTGGCGAGGGGTGTCGGGTCTCATCAGCACCGGCTGCTCCCAGAAAGGCGGGTCCCGTCCTGGCTGTCAGTGGCCACGTCCCTCCAGTGTCCCCCGTGGAGAAGCTCTGAGCTGGGCTCTGGGCTGCTGCTGTCACAGCCCCTGGCCCCCGGCCCACTCTTCCTCTGGGCTGTGGGGCTCTGCGAGGATGAAGTAGGAGGTGTACCCAGGCCTGGCCCCCTCCTGCCCACGATGAGCCCTGGGGAGGAGCGGGGGTTCGGGAGAAGCGGCTTCCCTAGCACCGTTTCCCGTGTGTCCTCCATCTCCCGACCCGGGGCCACACTGGGGCCATCCTGGTACTTGGCAGGTGTTGTCTGAGTCTGATCAGGTCTGTCCGAAACCAGCAGGTCCCTGTTCCCTCAGATCCCGGGTCAAGGTCGGCGTCAGCAGGCCGGGGGTTGTCAGTTTCCTAGGACTCTGAGACACAGCCCTGCCAACTGGGCCGACTGAACCAGCAGAGGTGTACGCTCCCCCGTTCCGAGGCCAGAGCCCCCCGTCAAGGCATCGCAGGGCCGAGCTCCCTCCCGCCTCTCCCAGCCCCCGGCCGCACGGCTTCTCCTGTGTCCAGGTTTCCCTCTTCTCAGGACACCAGTCGTTGGCTTCAGGGCCCGCCCTAAATCCTCTGAGACCTCATCTTAACCAATTGCTCCTGCAGAGAACTTGGTGTACTTATGGTCACGTTCTGAGGTTCCAGGTGGACATGGATTTGGGGAACCCTATTCACCCCAGCGGAGGGGCGAAGGCCAAAGTGTCTACCTGCCCCTGTTCCCTTTTCTCCATGGCTGCTGCCCCCTCTCCAGTCTTGGAAGGAGCTGCCGTACTGTCCCCGTGTCTCCTGATCTCAGGCTGGGCCCCCCGCCCTCTGACCTCCTGTGCAGGTCCTCTAGAACGCCCAGCCGGGCTGTTTGGCCACTGGCTCCGCTCTCTTGGGGATGGCTGGAGCGCCCAGGCCTCCTGTCTGGTGGGATGGCCCCACTTCTGCAGCTCAGAGGGTTGTGAGGTGTCCAGTCCAGCGCCAGAAAGGCTGTTTGCCCGCATGGAGTTCTCCATCGGAAAGAGGGCGTGGGGGGGGGGGTTGGTCTGATGACTTTCATGTCAGCGTGCATGTCTCATGGAGTAGGAGTTAGGGATGGTAGGAGTTTCGCAGCCTCAGAACTCACGGGATCAGCCCTCTGGCTCCAGGGTTTGACAGGGTCGAGGCAGTCGGCATGAAACCCTGGTCAGAAGTGGTCCGTATGTGAGGGTACAGTTAGCAAGATCAGATCGGCTGCTTCTGGCAAACGTGTCTGTTTTTCCTTGCGGGGAGAAGGACAGGAGGAAACACCTGCAGGTTGGGAGTGGCCGGTGGGACCGCTCTGCCTGCGAGCCGGCCTCACCTGCACGAGGATGGTGGGACCAGGGCTCTGCGGTGGCCGGCTGGCCGCTGACGGGTGTTGGGCATAGCGGTCCGGGACCCCTCCACCCGCTGGCCTGTCTCTAGGCGTGTGGGCAGGGCCCGGCCTTCCTCCCACCGGGGACTCCGGGAGTGGGGTTTTGTGCCGGAAGGGGAGGCACTGCCTGGGGGGCCTTGCTCCGCAGCACCCACGAGGCCTCAGCTTGGCTCCTCTATGTGTCGCTCGGCGTGACTCCGAGGGCCCTGCCCCAGGCCTTTTGGGTGAGGGCACCCCACGGGCACCGGGGAGAAGGCAGGTCTAGCCACGGGCACGAGGCCACAAGGTGGAGGCTTGGGATGGCCCCGCTGGCTGCTCCCTTTCATCAGACCCCCCCGGCCCCGCCCTCTGCGGGGAATCCCAGGCGGTCATGGTCTTGCCTCGATGGTGAGCTGGCCCAGAGCTGCCGTCAGGCCACGCCAGGGCCGAGCGT